AGTGCTCTTACGAGCTCTTATTACAGCAATACTAAGGCTATTGCATTCAACATATATTAGCTAATTCATTTCACAAGTGATGAAAGAAAGAATCTGTATTATGTGCTCCCTGTACAGGATCTCTTTTGTGACATTTATTAAATTAAATATGTATATGCCTACACAAACAACAGAAGGTCATGAGTGTTATCTCTATTTTACAGATCGATATGGAACACTGATTACTACCCAGGTAGCCTAAGGTAACAGGACAAATTAATGCCACTGAGAATCCCTTCATTCTACCTTCCTGCCATGATGTCATGCTATCTATTAGATACATCAGCTCGGCATCATTTTTTTATCATCAGGTATATCTAATAACATAGAAAATACATTAGAAACACAACTAGTCCTTAAAGAATACAAGATAAAAATACTACAGCCCTGCTCTTCATTCTTCACTGCCATCACTCCATAAAATAGTTCTGCTAGTGTGAAGTGGGTGTGAAATACCAGCATTCTGACTAGATACCATATTACATTACAGAGTAATGTAACACATGTTACAGAGCAACAGAGGCCAGCCCTATATAATCACTCACTAAGCCATATATCTAACTCTGTATCAGCATATTTCAGATCTTTGAGTACTTATTAAACAGAAAATCATTTGTATAAGCCAACTTTAAGAAGCCTGCCATATTCCACAACAGCATTATTTCAGGAGGAAAATAAGGGAGGGAGGGGGAAAAAAGAAGGGTTAATTATAAAGCATGACAAAAAATGTCTGCAACATAATCCACATTCCCAAGCCAGAAATCTTCACTAGCTGCGCAGCTTCCTGCATCTGAGCACGTGGCAGGTATGAGTCACTGCAGGCACTTCTGTAAGGAGCTAACACAAAAAAACAGTACGATACAAGAGTGGTATTACCCATTGTATTCTGTACAGAACAGACCCTGAACTTTGAATAAGGGTGAGCACTGAAAATTTTAATTTTATTCTTGCCATTCAGCCAACCCACCACTAGCTGTCGCCATTGCTTCACAAGAAGTCAAGAGCCAGCGTTGCAACGCGGAGACGATTTTCAGACAAGGCTTACTTTCAAAAATGAGTGCTGCTACTCTTGGGGGATGGGGGCGACTCGGAAAAATTGAAAGGATCTACAAGAGGATAAGAAAACAGATGTGTAGGAGAATGCCTACATCCTACAACAGTGATGTGGCTGCAATTTGAAGCAGATTGGCACAGAAAGCTTGGAAGATCTATATATTTTAGAAGATGTATGGAATGAGAACAGAAATCCCTGTAAACCCACTCACATAGCAGAATAGGAACAATCAAAATGGACTGGGGCAAGCCAGTGTTCCTGTCTACTTTCTGACTACAAGAAGTGCAGCAGCAGTATTGGATGCAATAACCTTAAGGGGTGTTTTCCCAACCATTACCTACAGTGGCTAGTTCCATCTCATATTATACAAACCACCCAAATTCAGAAATGGAAAATGCAACTCAATAAAGCCATAGGATAAAAGTTCGTCGGTTTGTTTGTGTTTGTTTAGCTTTTGTAATCAGCCCTATAATCTGCTTTATAACACTTACTTCTAAATGCAGGGACATACCAATGCCATTTCTGATGTTCTGGTGAACCCCTCTGGCCAGTGAAACCTCTCCATAGCATGCAAGTTAGCTTTCCATCAAATCAGATATTCAGATCAGAATCCACCCTCCTTCTTTGCTACATTACAGCCAAACTAAGCTGAGTAGGGTACAAAAGGTTGGGATTACAATACTCTTCAAAATACAGATATAGGAAAATATATACAGGAAAGAGAGGGTTATCCCTGCATACGTGTCAGAAGAGTTACCACAGTGTTTGGCAATTCACTGAAAAAAACGTTTAATATAAATGTCTGCATATCTTTTTACAGAGGCTAAGGTTTCCAACAGAAAGAAATCAAATATCAAGACCAAAAAGGACATGGAGAAAAAGAGAAGATCAAAAAAAATCAAGATGTATTTTTCCAGACATTATCTTGTATGTTGATGTTATATAGTAAAGTGGCAAAACTGGATCAGCAATAGGAAGGAGCATTATCCTCACCTTACGACACAGAACAACAGTTTTTCTACAAAAGACTATTGATTTGTTTTTATGAAACAGGGCAGTAGGTTTTATTCACCAGAACAAGTAGTGGACTCTCAATACCATACATATACAGTGCTGTGTACACTTTGCAGATGTAACAACTGATTTTGGAGAGAATACTGACTCTTTCCTCCTCAGAAGAGAGCGCTGTGTTTACAGAGGACTGGGTGTACAGATAGACTGATCTCTGCAAAGACACCTGTTACTGACAGATATTCTTGACAGAAACTATGAAAAGCAACTTAAATCCAAATCTTTTTATATTTTGTAGTTGTTCAAAAGCCTGTGAGGATGTTTAGTTTTACGTGAATTGTATCAACATTATTATTTATCTATTTCAGAAGTAAAAAAAAAAAGCACATCTGAGGATACAGTTCAGCCTGTAGGTAAAATTCAAGCAATACAAATGAAAAAATGTTGAACTAACAAAGCAAAATGCAGCTTTCTGAAATAATACCAACTCAGGTTTCTTGAGATTCTGAAAGAAAGAGTTTCCTGCTTAGTTCTCACAGCATGTGCCAGAAGAGTAAAACAATGCCATAAGTTGTAAAGTACTTTCTTGAAGCAGTGCAGAACACAGAGAAGGTTCTCTTCCATGTCAGTAGATACGTACTAGTTTAAAGCATCAAAAGGTATTTGTCATCATCGCTGTTTTTTTCCTAATCAACATGAATAGATACTGTTTTACTTTCTCTTCATGAAGCACATTATCTCATGAAAACAGAAGGGCTGCAGCTAGTGCTTGGGCCAATGACAAAATGCTACTTCTTCATTTGGTTGATTTATTGATACACCTGCATTCGGGAGGGGTACAGGAAGTACAGAAATGCTTCCAAGGATGCACCTTCAACAGACTGGAAGGAAAAGAAATGTAAGTCAGGTTCCACTAAAAAGATAAATAGTCTTTCTTTGCAACCATTTCAACACAGTCTGAACTTGAGGGCTACCAAACAACTGCATCAATCATTTACCGTGGGTGCTACAAAACGATTGAGGAATTAAATATTCTAGTTTTGTTTGTTTGTTTTTTAAGGTTTATATAGATCATGCTGCAGGATTTAAAGAATTTAAAATCCCATTGCATTGGACAGCTACAGTCACAGGCCATCTGGACTTCCAAAACATAGTTTGATTAATAGTTTTGTTGTTTTGCTTTGTTTTCCTGGTACAGAAGAATTAAGCCATTCAGTGACAATACAACTACCAGTACCTTCCCTAGGTGTGCTGAGCTGATTAGATTTGGCCATGCTGAGTGACAGCTATCATATGCATGAATTGCAACTGAACAAGCTCACTTACACAAAGACAGCCTGCGCCAATCTCCTATGCCCAATGTTTTTAAGATACCTGTCAACAAGTTTGCCATGGTCCTCCAAAAGCTCACAGGAAACAATACGTGTATGAGTACAAGACTTACTGAAGTACACAGTAGGAAAATAGTAACAAAGAATTGAGAATAGAAGTAATGATACTAACAGATAAATATATTTTAGCAACTACAGTTCATTATCTTGTGAATCCAGCCTAAGGAAACCATTCTGTCACACAAAGAAATGACAGTGTTGTCAGGTGGGCAGAATGATTCTCCACTCTTGAGAGCCAGGAGGAACCTGTAAGCTTAGGTGTTAAAGTGCAAAAGGCACTCAAAGAAAAAATACACTTCTGAACAATGAAAAAAACCTCATTATACTTTGCACCTGTTTAAGAAAAAATATTTAACAAATCGGTTTGTTAATAAAGGTGCAATTAAGTACTACACAATTAAAGAAATAGGAATGAAAACAGAAAATTCTCACTAAGAGAAAAGGTTAAAGTCTCTCATTAAAAACAAACAAACAAACAAAAAACCACTCTCCCCTCACTCATGGATATAGACAATCTCCTAGGGAATTTGTTACTTATTAACATAGGATTGTTCCTGAAATTTAGGAAAGGGTTTTTCATTTTCTTTCTTGTTTTCTTTTTCTTTTTTCTCTGTGTGTGTGTGTGCTAAAAAGTTAGTATTTGTTCTCAGATTTCCAAGAAAAGGTGCTTCTTACTGTGAACAAACACAGCAATGAGAATAGAAAACCTTTAGGGAAAACCACTGCTCATTTCAATATCACAAACAAAACACAAGCATGGAGAAAGTGACAAATTTTGCATTCTCTCAATATTCTCTTTCTGTTAACATTGTAAGCTAGAATAAACTTCAATCACTGCAGCCAGCAGCCAGCTCATGAATAGGCTTACTAACATCAACAAGACTATTGGTATGAACAAATGCTCAAAATGACTATGAGACTTCTTGTATGCCCTTTGTAATGTTAAAAGCAGTAGGAATACCATAGCTTGCAAGTGCTCTCCCACATAGAGTAAGAGCTGAAGGCAAGAGGAATGCTCATGTGAGAAAGTGTGGAAGAGCTATAGATAAAGGCTGAATTAGTCCATTGCTGCCAGTTAAAACTATTAGAGCATGTTCTAACAAAAAACTACCAGGCTAGCAGATTCCAGGCTTCACCTAACTAAAACCTAATGCCTGAAGTTAGATTCTGATGTGTACTACTCAAGTAAAGCATTACTTCTACAGTTTAATAGTTATTCGTTAACTGCAATTCTACTTGAAGAACATGAGATTTCAACCTACATTCAAAAAGTATGGAACCACGACGGTAACATATAAAGGTTCTGTGAGAAAGGAAGCACCAGAACTAGCAGCAAGGTGGGGTTGCCTGCATGGTCAGCCCTTCATTTGAATGCAAATGCAATTTTGGGGCAGGCAGTTATCTGTGACATCAGGCAGGACCTTAGTAAACTGTTACCACCAGCACCTGGTAAAGCCATTGTTAATCATGTGTAGTAAAGGGACATGAGGGCTAGCATGAGTCATTTATAGAGCCGGTCAGAGCTAGAAAAGAGAGAGAAAGAAAGAGGAGGGGAAGAGATCAAACAAACAGTGTGAGGAGCAGGATGTCCCAGCAAGACAAAGCCAGGCTGTGAGCACCATGTACGTGAGTTACCTTTTGGATAAAGAGACCAGCATGTATCCAGGACCCGCAAGGTGCAGCAACAACAACCTGCCAGTGCAGAACTTTGTGCCCGCTCCCCCCTACTCAGACTACATGGGGTACCACCACGTGCCAGCTCCAGACGGCCACGGACAGCCCGCGGGAGCCTGGGGACCCCACTACGGCCCCCAGAGGGAGGACTGGAACGCTTACGGCCCGTGCCCGGGGCCCTCCGGCACGGCTGCTGCCGCGCAGCTCAGCGCCTCGTCTCCTGGGCAGGGCTCCTACAGCCCAGCTGAGTACAGCTCCCTGCATCCCGCCGCAGCCGGGGGGTTACCTCCTGCAGGTACCGGTGGCACACAGCAGGGCTCCCCCACCAGCCAAAGGCACAGCTCTTACGAATGGATGAGGAAAACGGTGCAATCCACTTCCACAGGTATGGGGGCAGCGAGGCTATGCTGAGATTTCCCTTTTTTGGGTGGTTGGTTTTGGTTTCTGTTGTTTTGTTGTATTTTTTTTGCCAGGTTCCATACGTTTTAACAGCAAGACGATTTGAACAAGACTCTTGCTAGCAGTGAAATATTGGTTCAATTTTTGGATGCTGTCTTTGATCAGCTGATGATTCCTTATATACCTTCCTTGACATCCATAGCTGAAGCCAATAAAAAGCAATGGCCTTTGACAGCTTTTTCACTTGAGATACGTTTTTTAAAAGTTACATCAAATAATTGCTTTTAGCAGGAGTCCAATAGATTTAAGTATGTCTGCAGAAAGAAATCATGATGAAAGCATCAAATTTCTCCACCATCTATGCCTTGCTTATTTTCCTTAATTTTCAGTATAGACATGAATAGTTCAAGTAAAACATATATAGTGTTGGGGTTGGAAATCTCTTTGTATTAGATATAGCCCCCATAAATCTAAGAACAGTAAAATGAAATATATCTAGAATCAAATGCTTGAAGGACAGGAACAACAAGGAAAGACTTGCCACTCTTCATAGCAGTAACTCAAAATACACAGGAATATAAAGATCTCTGGTAGCAAAATAAGTTAATGCTATGACAGGTTGATCTCCAATAGGAATGGATGATTAAAATAAAATGCTGCAGTCATGTTTAACAAGTAAAAATAAGAAGTCTGAGGAAACGATTCTCTTTGGTCATAGGAAGTAAAGCAAAAAAAAAAAAAAGTACAACTATTAAACACCAAAAACATCTCTGTTCCTTGTATCAACAGAAAACTAATGAAACAAGGAAGGGGGGAAGGAAAGGCTGAGGGGCGCTGCCTGAAAGGAGCAGGGACAGTCTTCTATAGAAGTGTGTGATCCGCCAAGGTTCTGAGCAGTTCTGACACGCACCAACACCAGTAGGAGTTCAGGACGCTCCGTACCTCCCCCAGAGATGCACACAGTATCTCAGTGTCTCAACTTATGGAGGTTCCCTTCCTTCCAGGCCTTCCTCCCTTCCCAGTTTGGTTCCCACACACCTGTAAATGTGGTTTTCAAAGCCAGTATTGAATTAAACTCTGAAGGGAAAACAGTTATTTCAACATATATTCTACATAAACAAAAGCAACTAAGCCTAAAAATTATCTTTGCCAAAATAATGCACCTATTTTGCACAGACACAGAGTCATACCTAGTCCTGCTCAATGCAACTTCAGCTCACAGAGAGTCCATGGATGATACTTGGACCAAGAATGTTCCTTACATTGGGGGAATAAGAACTTTGCAAATACAAAAGACAGAGGTTACTGAAGACTTTTTTATTTTAAAATATATCTCATAGCTGATCTTCACTGAATGCTACTCAAGAAGAGGGCCAGTCTTGCAAAAACTTCATGCTTTCTTTTGCGTAGTCCTTATGAATACAGTGAGAATTCTCACAGGCAGTATGATTTACAGCTGGCAACGTACTTGCTCAAAAACCACTACTATTTCTCTTTTCTTTACCTACCTGCCTCTTGCTCTTTTGGATTTAAATGGCAGCCTTACAGTTTCTGTCTTTTTTCACAACCATTAGGAATTTTAATAGAGATTTTGTAAAGGAAAGAAGAATTATGTATGTTGTTTATTGCCTCTTTTTAGTCCCTGTGAAAAAGATATGAACTATTGTTCCTGAAGATAGGAAAAATAAGGCTTAGACTTACCTGAAGGCACTGAAGTAAATTATAGAAATGAAAAGTATTATTTGTTCATTATGTGTTGCAAAATAATACTTATCAATAATATGATTTCTCTATAGAAATGATGAATATTAAGGCAAGTAATTTTTGCAAGATGCTCTTAAATGTCTGCAAGAAATGCTACTCTAATTATATCCCTTTAGAATCAGGAGAGACTCCTTCCGTAGGCTGACTTACTTATATACCTCTTGGCAGCAGTCTGATTTGTAACAGCAACAGAAACAAGGCCTAGAAGCAATGACATTTCCATCTCCAGGGGTTTCATGGTTATCTTCTCTTGTTGTGGTGCTTCCTGGATTCATGACCTGACAGAGAAGGAAGAAAAACACTTGATTGAAATTTCTCCCACTGCCTCATACCCACATCTTCTCATATTGTTATTTATACAATTCATCTGGAACAGAAGAAGAAATGATTTCAAGTTAAATTTACTGTATGCAACTTAAAAAACAACACTGAATACAAAACCAGGACTTCACCTGGTATTAAGCAAGGTTCATGAAATACGCTTCTTAAAACGACCAAAAGAACTCAGTAGTTGATGCAAGACTGTTCTGATACAGTGGCACTGCAATGCATTGAACGACCTAATCAGGCTTTCATCCACCATCCTCCCTGGTGAAGGATGTATGAACGCTCCTTCTGCAGCTTTCAAACTGGAGGGAGTAGGACTTCCTCCATGTAGGCTCTAATGCCTGCTCACTGCTTCCCTGAGGGTATTCAGGATACCGGAGAAAGCAAATGCATTCTGACTCAGACCACTTGAATAAAGGAGTATTTTGTATGGAGTATGTCTGAGTATTTTCATCCAAGAATACAAGTGGAAAAGACCCTTTCCTAACCCTTATACTGCGCCTATTTGCCTCAGTTGCTAAAACACCAAACAGAAAGGAAAAAGAAACCCACAGCTACTAGCAATAGCAACAGAGGTTAGAACCATGACAACTAGAGACGGCAATTCTAAGTACACAGAGCATAATTACAGGCAAATTCTTTGATGAAAAGCATAAGCCCGTCATCGAATAAACTACAAATCCCCTTATATTGATTTCTGTATTTTTATGGAAGCATGCAATCCCTTGCATAGGAGTAGCCTTTAGTTTTAGCCCATGGGAGAAAACAAAATACATCTGTGTAAACCTGTGCACAAAATCTAAAGTATGAAGAGGTAACTGCCAGGTAGTTTCAGCAGCAACGAGAATTAGGTTTCTTAAGTATATCTTAAAATCTGTACCTATCTAATTATTAAAAAAGGAGGGAGCAAGTACAGAAACGAAGGGAAAGTAACTGTAAGCAGAGATGACAAGTGCAGGAAACACTGTAGTCATTCAGTAAAACTTTGATGATTTTTTTGGTGGTGCTGACAGGTGCTGACAGTATCATTACCAAATGCTCTATAAATGTAGAGTATCTAGAAGAAGGAAGAAGTTGCATCAAATGTAAGAAAGAGAAGCAGCACTCTTAAGGAGTCATTCTTGCAAAATGCTGAATGCCTAAAGAACACCTGGAAAAAAAGTCCAGGTAATCACTTGCTTTTTAGTTTATACAGTCACTGGCAATGTGACTTTTCCTGACCCTGCCACTTAGAAAACTGCCTGCACTTTCTACAGCCTATATTCTTATGCCAAACAAAACCCCACAGAGCAGTCTGTCCAGTTGTCATTTAAAGGTAACAAAATTATTTTGTTTTGGATTCAGTTATCTTCTGTATTATGAAGATGAATTGTTTACACTAACCAAGGGCAGAATTGGCCAATGAGCATTATGACTCATATTTTTTTGCACTTTAATAATTGCACTTTAAATAGAAGTCAACAGAACAGAGGGGAAAATCCCCTAAGTCCAATGAAAGTTTCTGATTCTATGATGCTACTCTGTTCTTTTCACCATGAGTTACCTGAACATGTATAATAAGAAAAAATGATCAAGATCCAGCAGAAAATACAAATATGGGATTTCAGCATCACAAACCTCTATGCATCCAACTTGGCAATATTTCTTTCAGCTCATTGAAACTTGAGGCAGGAATGCAATTGCTACGCTGTGCAGGACAGCACCCTTGTAACTTCACAGAACTTCACGTGCAGCACAGTGTCCTTCTTCAAGACATTTATTCATTTAAATTTCTTTTGTTTCACAAATTCAATTAAATCGGTGATACTCCTTAGGGTGAGTTTGGACCTTTTGTTTCCTAAATTTTGAAGTGCATGAATATTGAGAAATCGCTCCCTCACCAAAAAAAAAAAGAAAAAAAAGAATCCACACCGCTGGGCCCTGATCTCCAGTGATCCTTTATTATTAACTCAAAAAACTAACTCTACTCCCTCTCTTAAAACTGAGCCACCATAAAGATGCAGATATGAACAGAATAAATCTTCAGGCCAGAAAACTATTCCACGTTTGAAGCTGACCTACTGCCTTTCAGCCATCACGTACAGACATCAACTCCCTCTGAACAGCACTAAGCTATGCAATTGAGGTGCTGATACTTGTAAGTAATCTGACACTATTCTGTACATCTCCTGTCTGAACGAGCTAGCTGATGGATTTTATGAATGATGTCTTGTCAATTCAGGTAGACGAAGGATATTCCTGGACAGTTAAGAGAGGATGCACTAAAGAAGGGGCCTGGGACCAGTTCTCATGCTAATTTATTTTACTTTGTAAACTAGTTGTGAGGTCTGACCGTGTTGGTTTGGTTTTGTTTTTTTTTCCTCCTTTCCTGGGCTACATTGTCTTTGGTTTTGAGGCCTATCTGTCATATTGAGGCAACAGACCCTCTCAACACTTCTCTTTGCTTTGATATGCAGCCTTGTCTCTTCCTTCTCCCTTTTTTCTTCAGGAGTTATATTGCCGGAAAGGGTGATGATTTTCACAGCAAATAAAGAGGCCTTCTCCTAGCTTTATTGTCTTCAGAAGAAATGCTCTGTGAATTTTATGACCAAGGGGAAAGCTGTTCCCTTCCCCCAACTCAGAACTTGGCCAGTCACAAAAATTGCTGAAGAGGGTGTGATAAGAGAGGATTGTTAAACTTTATCTCAAAGGAGTCTTCTAAGGCTGAAGTATCTTATTTTTCCCACTCTAAAGGCAGTCTTAAATAATCGCTACTTGCAAAATAGTTGCCAGTTTTGGCAAAACTTGCTGTTCTTAAATAGTTCAACTCAGAAGATCGACCCCCTCAACACAGAGGCAGTTTGCAAAGCTCTTTATTTTAATTCCACCCAGCTACTGATAATCTCCCCAACCACCTGCAGCTCCATGCTATGACAATACATTCCCAATAAAACTGATTCTAAGTCGTCGATTAAAGTGAGGATCATCCTTAATGAAAGGTTAACACTGTCAAAAGGTAAATGCTGGCCATTTCACTCATGTGAGTAAAATCTGCAGCACTAAAGGATTGGATTAAAGTATTAACCTTTATCACCGAATCATTATATTTTGTCATTATCTACCAAAGAGATCTGACAAATGAGGAACATTCTTCTGCTCTGTTTCTGGGGTGATGTATCAGTTCTACCTCAGATTTTACGCAGGTAGTACTTCTTGAAATAAAATGCATCACTGTAATTGAGATGAGCAGAAGATCAGTAAGATTCACAACAGAGTGCCATATATTCTGTCATATATATCTGTTTAATAGGCTTTATTGCTATTAACTTTAGAACATAAATAAACAATCCACTCTGCCTTTGGAATGAAATGCCACGTGCAGAGCAACTCCAAGACAGCATCCAACAAAGGGAATGCAAAAGTCCTCGCAAACACTTGGACCTCATCAGGCCTCACCGAGAGCAAAACACAATATTGCTAGCAACAAGGGTTACCTCTGAAGATCTATCTCAGCAGATCTCTACAGCTCAGATAAGGGTTTAAATACCTAAAATCAGGAATAGAAAGCTATATCTTGAAATTTTCCATCTTGTTTTGGCAACAGAAGCACATCTGATGTTTGACTGTGACTTCTGAATGAGAACAGAGCTAAAGATAAGATCACCTTTCTCTTTTGTGTTCTCCATCTTAACAACACAAAGGAGACAACACTAAGGAAACATCTTAAATATGTCGGTCCCACAGAATGACCTCAAGTTCTTATTTGAAGCTGGAAAAAAAAAAAAAACAAAAAACAGGGCAGAGATCTAAAGTTAAAATATATCAAGTAAAGCATTAAAGCACCACAGGAGACCATATGTTAAACAAACAATTTACACTTCGAATGAATGAAAACAAATGTCATAGTGTTTCTGTGGACTGGGCTGAATAATTGCTGTTCTCCAAGACTAACATTTTCACCATAATATTGTAAAATTAGCAGCACTTTTCACTTGATTATCTGAGTAAACACACTTGGACTAATTCTGCTTTTCACTACAGTTCTACAGTGATAGAAATGCTACTGAGCTGAGAATGTCTGACCCAGCCAAGCAGACACAGCGTCCACAAGAAAATTAAAAGATTAGTTTGACAGAGTTGTTTTGGCTGCACGGAGGGAGCAGAAACACCATCATAGGCAACAAACAAAAATGTATGCATTCATTTTTCCTACCGAAATATTCCAAGTAAACACACTGATGATCTCCTAACAGTTGGAAAATATTCATATCACTGTAAACTCACTATTAGTGGCCAGTGCTTTCCCACAATCAAAGAGCAGAAGCTGAATGACCAAATTCTAATGTACACCTTGCAATGAAAGCTGGGAGGAATCCCAGAGAAAGCCAATCACATACAGTGAACCAAGCACTGCCTACAGTCAGAGGTACCTTGTTTACAGCACTGCAGTGACCAGGACTTCCAGTGCTAACCAACTGTGTCCAACATCTATACCAACAGCACGGAATGGGCCATCACCTTAAGAACTTTGTCATGCACGTAATATCTTAGTGAGCCAAAAATTGTTACAATTTGACAACAAGGTCAAATCCTGGAAGAGAATTTATTGCCATGCGGTGTACGCATTTAGATAACAAGTAGTAGGCAATGTTAACTTTAAACATATTCGGCTATCAAAACAATGAAACTATGCCTTTCTCCACTGGTGGGGAAAAACACATTGACCTGTGAAACCAAATCACGGATTGAAGGATAAAGTACTTCAAGATTCCACTACAGTTCTTTCTGTACATTGAATTCTGAGATTTGGAACTACTTCACAAGCTAGGGAAGCGGGAAGAAGGGACTGAGGAGCAACCAGACTTTGGTACCAGCAATCAGCCCCCAGCTGTTCTGTGCTGCAGAGAAGACTGGGTGCTCAGTGGTGACACATCATGGGGAGCTGGAGTTGCTCAGAGAAGGACATTTTGCCAATTCACTGATAGTCTATTTTGGTGCTCTCCATTTTGCTACTCTCATCACCAGTGCAAGTTTGAAGTCTATCTTTTTCTGAAGAGTAAGGCATGCAGACATTGTTTGACAGAAAGCGATCTGTAAGACAAAGATTAAAAAAGATGAAGCTACATCTGCAGTACAACCAGACTGCTACAGGCAGCAAGTCCCAGTATGCCTCCCATTTTATGTATGATCCCAGAGAATCTGACTCCAATCTGTTGTTCTTGCCCATTGGACAGGAAGGCACACAAAGCATAGTACCACACATAGCACAGATGACCAACTTCAAATGCGTTCTGTCCCAGACAATTTACAGACAAGACATAAACATTTGAACAAGTGTCCAGATGAAAACAGACAAGGAAGCACAAAACAAACCAACAAGTCACTATTTGCAGTCACTGTAACATTGTTTTTAGCCCCCAAACAATCTAATCTTTCCAAATTGCAGGAAGACCTCAGGGCAGGGCTCAGGGGCCATGATTTTAGGCAGCTGTTGACCTCCAATGTTTTGATTGCCTAAAATGAATATTAATAAGAGTGAAAAGGCTGGTGAGAAGGGAAGCATCAGCAGTCTTCCTCATTCTCAGCTGTGTTTAATGACTGCCAACATCTGTCCACACAGATGATCCTGTATGAAATCAATACATTCCTAGCTACTTGCATCTATGTTCACTTGCTCATGTCATTTGCTCTTACCTTTTTAAAGACCCAGTTACTGCTGAATCATGTCTGCTTCAGCTGGCTGTACCCATATCTGAAATGTTACAGCAGTGCTGCCAGAAAAGGAACCAGTGGTACAATTCTAGCATTGCTGAACATCCTTTGTTAAGTATTGCATTCCTTTCCTCTTTTTTTATTAACTGCCATTTGAAAATGTATCTCACTATTCCCTGAGGTGATCAAGGTGTGGTTAGATTGTGTTAGGCTTGAAGAAAAAATACAGCCACCAAATCGCAATAACAGCAACAGTATTGTATCGATATCTTTAGCAACGGGATCTGAAGTCCTTTGGAAGCTCTCAGTATTTTCTGTGCAGTAAAACACCTTTCATGATTCATCTCTGAATTAAGTAGTAGTCAATCAGCTTTAGAGAAGAAAAAAAAGCAACTCAACACTGGGCAGTAAGCCTCCATTAAACTGTGAAGAGAACCCAGGCTTTCTGGCTCCTCATTCTTAACAAGAACAACTTCTCTTTCCCAAATGATAACCCAAGGGTAATAAAGAATACAAGAATCAGTTTATCATCTATTTACTAAGGAGCAAATCCAAAAGCTGATGGTATTACCCTCTTGTGTTGTAAATTGATACGACTCCACTACAGTCAAGGAAGTTACTCTGGGTAAGTGCAGAGAACCAGGCTTAAAATACCCACAAACATTTGTCAAATGTAAAGTCTGATATCTTATGTTACTGAAGTTAAAAAAATTCTAGGTTGAAGCAATGTGTTCTTCTTTCAAAACAGGTAAAACAAGAACAAGAGAGAAGTACCGAGTGGTTTACACAGATCATCAGAGATTAGAATTAGAGAAGGAATTTCATTACAACAGATACATTACAATCAGGAGGAAGTCTGAACTTGCTGCAAACCTAAGACTTTCCGAGAGACAGGTAGAGTATGGATTGCCTGTTCAGAATTTCCTTTGCATTTATTACTGCTGAGGAGGAGATAACCTGTGGTCGAGAACACAGAAATGCTAATACCTCAGAACTAATGCGACTGAGTTCTCTTTGCGATTTAGGAACTCATACTATCCAGCTGAACGGCTCGATGGCTTTGTTTGCATTCTTTGTGAAATATCCCATCAGCACTAGTTCAGCTTGCACGATGGCAGCAGAGAGCTATGCAGCTGCACAGAAAAGACAAACTGAAGTCTGACATACAGTCTTGTTCTGAGAAAATATCAACCAAATCCTGCCAGGACTTTCTGCTGTTCGGCTGGGTCAGTATTACTAGGGAGAAGCTTTTGCAAATATTTTCAAGTCCTGGTTCCACTGAGGTCAGTGGGAAACCTTAAACAAGGTCATTCTTAGTAGTGGCATAGGTAGTGAACATAAGTGATGAATTCCAGTATGCTCAGGACACTGAAGATATTTAGGTCTTGGCTACCTTCTACCTTTTGTTTAAAATTCCCTACACACCTGCTAATCCTTTCTCTTTTCCCTATTTCCCTCCATTCCCTGCAAATTCCATTCCCTCTCCCACAACTTAAATCCATTCTTCTTGGCAAAAAGACATAAAGTACAATTTGCCCTGGAACGACTCGGTGCCACGTTCTTCAATCATGTAATTATTGTGCCTGTGCCACCTCCTGCTACAGCAAAGCAGGAGCCCAGGCTCTCAAGCACCTCAGCTGACTCATGCCAAGCAAGATAAAATGCCCATCTAGATCTCCAGTATACTGCTAACGTGGGCTGAGCATGTTCTGTCCCATTTTACTTGGGGGTTTCTTAACACAGTACACTGAAGTAAGCATCGATCTTAAAAGATTCATTGGAAGGACTCCACAAATAGATTATCTCAAGACAGAAGAACAAAGAACGACAAGTAAACAAGAAAGGGAAGAAGTAATATCTAATTCTTTCTTAAGTGACAAATGATGCACTTCTGATATAGACAGGATACAAAAATAAAGGAGATGGTGAGGACAAGAAAGAAGAGCTAAAATCACACTTTGGGATTACTTGCACAACTAAGCATAAAAAAATACTGCAAAAGGATAGCAACAGGTAAAGAACAAGTCCACATAAATACAGATCTGCAAGGTTAGACTAATAGCTTACTTGCATTTGATAACTGGTATACAACCTTTACATGCCTACTAAAATATCTCTCTGAATCTCTGCTGCAGGTCTCTACATCTAGTTTAATAATGAAAGAGAATAAACCCCTAAATTCAAAGCAGATATTGCCAAACACAGAGGGCAATTCTGAATCAGGTATTAGTTTGGATTTTAGATAGTTCCGTCTCTTCATATATTCTGTCAAATGATGGGAAAAAGCTAAATTACCAGTCAGAACGTAGGATATTTGAGACAGCTTTAGTAGAACATGAACATCATTGGCTACTGGAGTGATATTTCAGAAATTAAGACAACAAAATGAACTGCCACATGTTTGAGATGGCAGCCTGGCACTTAACAAACTTGGGTTCTACAAGCATTATGTGCATCTGGAATCTTCACATTCAGCTGGAAAATGGGTACAGTAATGGCTCAAGAATAAGTGCACTGAAACTGTCAGAGTCCTTGTGATGTCTTGAGGGACTTCACCACTAGATTCTTTTAATGGCCACAGATACTACCACTTTTTACAGTTTTTCCTTGTTTCTGACTGTCAGTTATTTCTCTGCCAAGCAGCTAAAAAGGAAAAGAAAACAAAGCAGTATTTCTCAGCAAACCACAGATTTTTCTTCGGGTTATTTAAAATAGTTGACAAAAAATCCCACATCAGGAATTCGTATCTAAAGACATTTCAGTTGCCACAGAATAGTCACCTTTTCACACCTGAACAAATTCTACTACATTTTCATTTGAATATTTTTAGCTTCACCTCACATCCTCACCTGTTCTGTCCCAATCAAAATCCATATATTCTTCAATAGTTCATCTTTTCTCAAAGATTGCATTTCTGTGACAGAGCAGTGACTAAGAAATAAAGTCATAAACCATGTGGGAAATAGCAGCAGATTTTGACTTCATCTACATGTGCAAGAAAAAGTGCTTAGCTACTAAAGCACCACTTCTGTAATACTCTGCAGTTAAACATACCTATAATAACACACTGGTGAATTTCTGCTCACATGTGTATTTCTGTTGGCTTACACATTGTAGCAAAAGAATTAATGTTCAGCATCCAAACAGGAAATCTTTTTTCCGTTCATAGGCCAATCATAGGCTCTGAGTTGCTCTGACTTACAACATATAGTTTTCAAAGTAAAGATACTTTCAAATTCTTTTGGCCACCACTGTGATGCATTAGGTTCTATCTGATCTTGTACAAAACAAAACAAAAAAAGAATCAAACTCATTTCATAAATACTTCCTAGGAATAAATCGTTTAAAAAAGCTGTTTATCAAACAAGATATTTTATTATCAGAGAGGAAGGATTATGTATTTGGAAAAAAATACATAACAGCAAGCAAAGAACTTAGCTGTCCTGTTTGCTACTGCCTTTCTCACTGGTCCTCATGCAGTTGATTTTCTCCTATGCCCCTTGACTACACACATAAAGAACCACATGCATTCTATTAACAACTGTAAAAAATTTCCTCTGCTCCTCTGCAGGTGAAAATCTGGTTCCAGAACCGCAGAGCCAAGGAAAGAAAATTAATGAAGAAGAAAATGACTCATTTTGATGGCAGCAATCTTGGCTCTATGCAGAGTGACTCTGGCTCAGTGAGCCCAATGCCAGCTCCTGACCAACAGACTCACTCCGAAATGCCCAGCTCTTTGTTCCCTCCTCCACCTCCTCCAGCTCCGCTTGCGATGAACGGCCTGCAGCACTCTGGGAACCTGCAGCAGGTGGTGGCCTCTCAGTAAGACTGGCTGAGGAGCTGCTGCTTATCGAACACTATGAAGTACCGGTACACAGAGCACTACAGTACGAAAGAGGACATCTGCAGCTGTTTTGCAGGGGTCCCCAGCATGACACAGTTCTGTGCACATAAGCTTCAAGTTCAATAAATCTAGAGTCACTTGCTGGGTCTGCAGGATAGCGCGAGTCCCCAGCGGCCCTGGAACTGCTGTGTGTCAGGAGTCCTAGCTGCAGAGAGCCTCACAAGAGAACACCACAAGGCGAGCATCCCTGCAGCAGGTGGGCAGGCACAGGAGAGGAGAAGAGCCAAGGGCTGGAGTGGCCACTTGTTAACCTTATTCTGTGGAAAACAAAGCACAAAAGAGGCCGTAGGCAATATGACATGGCTAGGCTGTGATAGCAGCTTCACGCGAGTGCTCTGTCCCCTGCCCCTAGGTAAAGAGTGCATTCTTTCTCCTTCCATCTCCACACAGGTTCCATGTACTGATCTCACTTTCGACGTTACACGCGGACCCTGATAAATGACAAGCTGGCTTAATTGTCTTGACCCACTTGATGGAAAGCCTGAGTTGTGGTGGTTGCACTCACTATGTTTTAAGGGTAAAGGTCATGGATGAGCTTTTGGGGTTTGTTTTGGTATAGGTATGATTTCCAGTGCTCCCTATACTGATACAAACATGCATGCATCAATCTTACCAATCTTTCTGGAAATGTGAATCTTGACTTAAGTTCATTTTTGGTGGAGATTGCATTTTGTGAGACAGCATAACCCCTGGACAAAGATGCAATACTTGCATTCAACTAATTTTATATTTGGAGTGATTTTCAGAGCTATCGTGATACTAAAAAAAAAAAAAAAAAAATTAAAAATTTGAGAAGCTAAATAAATAGAAGACAAAGCAAAACTATTTTACCTGGATATAAGCTCTTGCCAATTTATAAGTGGGCACGTAATACTAATCTCCTAAACCCACATCTGAGAATCTAAATAGGAGGGTTCCAATTCCCAAATGCTGATCCCTTCCACACTAAGCAGACTTGGGAAGATAATCACTACTTTAGAACAATCTGGATATCTGCTCCCTGAGTTGACTACCAATTACACGTCCATAATCTCTGCCTGCAAAGAGAAAATGTTTGAAGCACTCGGGTAATTTGGGAATTTATACTCCCCTTTGCCAAAAGCTGTTTAGAAGTTTAGGATGCTTATCCTCATGAATTTCCATCAAAGTGTCCTCCTAAATTTCTCCAACACTGTTACAAATAAGACTTAGGAACATTAAGTCATTTCGGCACTACGTTTTGTTTTTTTCTTAATTATAACAAATAGTACTATTAGACCATCAAAATGTAGGTAATGTAAAGTCACTTTGTATATAGAGAACATTAAAATAAATGACGTTTTCAATGATCATTTGCCAATGTGATATTAGCTACTGTAGAAAATGAACATTTCCATGAACATTTTGTTGCTGAATTGCAGCGTCAAGTAGAAAAGCAGGGAGATGTCTAGAAAAAAAACAGAGAATGGTAAAACCAGGCTGACTCAGGGAGATGACAGCACTCTCTTCCTCTCTCCCTTTCTCTCTCTCTCTTGATTTTACCTAGAATTTCCTGGTTGTAACAAGGACAGCACGAAAGAAGAGTAAACTTAAAAGGGATGCACATCCACATTGTAAAATTCCCACACTTTTCCTTCCATTGTGCTGCTAGCAAGAGTACTTTGAAGCTTTGTGTTGGTAAGATAAGCCAAATTAGATGAAGAAACTCAATTAAATACAATTCAAAGTTCAGCAACAGAAAAACTTCTAGTGCTTTTCACGTATTATGAAAAGCAGAACAGGACAAATAGCACTTATGAACAGGAGGGATTTAACATCCACACTGATGAGCACAGCCATCAAACATCGATCTCCCAAGAGAGGAAGAATCCATTGGAAATGCACAGAACAGCCATTCTGCCTACAGAGGGAAACACTGCAGATATTTTACATACAGTTCATAAGCATGTTTTAATGTAACTGATACTGAAAGAGTTCAAAAGAAAAGCAATCTCAGTTTGGCCAATTAAACAGAATTAGAGTTGTATATCAAAGAAAAATCAGTAAAAACATCCAGATTTAAATTTAGAACTTATCAGAATACAGAAAGCAGCTTTGTTTTTTGTCATGATATACAATAATTTGATACCTAGTTCTAGTTAAATGCACCAGAACCCCAGGATTTTGCAGTTCAAGTTCATTGTTAGATTTAATCACATTTCCATGACATAGTTTGATTTTGTAATTGATTTTTTTAAATAATATATTTTAAAAACATTCTTAAAAACGAAAAGAAAATAAATCTGAACTCAACTTCTTTCTCTTTAAAATTATTTAAACATCATTCAAAGAGTGAGGGATCCAGCAAAACGACCCGTTTTATCTTGTTTACATGTAGAAGAGTTATTGAGGAAGATAAGTGACTACTTTGAAGATCTGCCTCATTTCTGCCCCAGTTTGCTGAAAGCATGCTTGCTATAGGTTGCTATGTGTTTCCAATCAGAAGTTGTTAAGTACACAAAATAAGGCTGGATTTTATTTGCAGAAGCACATGTTCAAAGGTTAAAATTTATTGCTCCAAAAGCAGTATCTATAAACCAGGGTAATACCTTAGGGATTATTAACCCTCTAGTTATGCCAGTGATCGTTTTACGTGGTTCAATGTTTTGTTTTGTTTTTTAACTTACTAACAATCTATTCAAATAAGTATTTTCCAGTGTGCTTTAATCCTTTAAAAAGTTGTTCACCAAAAAAACAGTAAGCTATTTTTCATTAAAAAGCTTGCAAGATATTGTTGCATAGCTAAACTAAAAATGAGATGGATCAAATCAGAGGCAAATAACTGGAGGTATTTTGGTCCAACATTTTGAGTCATGAAATACCTCCGAACGCTACTTGCTGCCCCTCCAGCGCTGGGCATATCACGCAACCCATCACTTTTAGCACATCTATAAAACTAGGGACACTAAAGCAGAGCTGCTGCGAAGATGGATTGGTTGTTAGCAAAGCTCCTAGAAGAAGAAAAGCATACCATGGGCTACATCACAGGAATATCTAAGCCCTTAATCCTAATTGTGATTAAAGCAACAATCAAGGTGTATGCAATTTTCAGAGGAATTCAGTAACCTTTAAACCCCATTACCCAGAAAGAAGGGTTTGGCACAAAAAGATCAAGAACATACCTGGCAGGATCTCCTGCAAAAACTTCATGCAACTAAGAAAGCCATACAATTCAAAATGACATTTCCAAACAAAAGAAAAAAAGCCCTTCAGGTAGACAAATGGAGTCATTCTAGGTGTTAACACAAAAAATAGAAATCGTGCTTCGTGCACTGAGATGGTGCATCTCTGAACAACTTAGATGGCCTGTCACGTTTTGGAAATGGCCCTGGATGTTATCAGTGGGACTCAAAACTGCGTTGACATCACTATTAAAAAAAAAAAAAAAGGCACTGTTTTAATGGTGAAAATGTTTCCCAGCTGTTTTAACGATCAAAGAGCACAAATAACTTTTTTGTACATTTTGTAACAAACCATTCTGTGAAGTATGTCAAAATGGAGAGGTTTAACTTCGATTTATCCTGCATGCTCTTGGTCCTCCAGGGCAGGAGGGACTTGATACACACGACTTCTCATCTGAGAGCAAGGAAGAACAGTTAAATTTCTGTGACAGAAAGGCTGGTCTGCCAGGAACATAAGCCACGTGTATACCAAGAATTGTAAACAGTAAAAGCGATCAAATCCTTTGTTTCCTCATGAAAAACAAAGACCACACTCAAGGAACACCCAAAGGACTGAATACTGAGCACCAAACAACCCCCATCTAGCTGTATTCCAGTCAGGATGAATTAGTACAGTAAGTGGGAACCGCACACCGCAGGTTTAGGAAGGAAATCGAATCTCAACAGAAGATCTGCTGATCCTTTTTTACAGCCCTGCTAAAAAGGATCAATTTAACCTGCATTTCACATACAGATTCTTTAAGATCTGCTGCACTAAGACTGTTTGCTGAGCAGTTAGACACACTTTTATTACTGTTTGTATTGATTTTGTAACAGATCTTAAATTGTCTCGATTTCAGATCAGAAGACACACCTCCCTAGCACATGCAACACTGGTGCCAATCATACATGACACATAGTGCCACTGCCCTAAGGAAGGGGAAAAATTAACATTAGGAAAAGAAAGCTAAATCATTGTTAGCAGCAGTCAGAAAAACAGCTATAAGGGGTTGAAGGGTAAACATGATCACCATACTCCCAACAATTCACTTTTCAATATCAATGATTTTATAGAAGGATTTGTTAACAAGCAAGATCTAAGAGTATGGAATTCAAAATTGCAGCATTGAGGAAGGCTTCATGGACATTTCTATTTCTACTTGTTGGTACGGAGTGGAACTACCGAAATCTCTCTCTTTTCTGCAGCAAGTGAAAGTAACTCAGTTACCATAGCTGATTCAGCTCTCTGAGCTGTACCACACTCATCAGCAAGGAGAAAATTTGTCATGGTCTGGCATCTCATACCCTGAAAATGAGACCTAACTAGACTGTCATATATTAAACCATCCCAATCAAAAAGAGTAAATAACATCTTCAGAATGGTTGTTTCTGGAAGCTCCCATAAAAGCAAGATCACTCTCTTCAGTGGTTGTTTTAAAATTTAGAAGCCAAAGCCTTCATTCCTGAATTAATAGACTGTTTTTTCCATCAAAACTGACCTCAGCTGACAGCACGCTCTGTACTGACTGTCCTTTCCCTCAGATTTATACAGCTATTAAAGTTATGAAGATTGAGTGTGCATTTAAAGCCTGGTTTGAATAAAGGGTAACGTCTCTGGAATATTACATTAAATCCATCATTAATATGATAGCTCCCTAGCTAACTCCTTAGCCAGCCATTCCACTGAAACTGTAGGCATGCAGTTATAAAGGTGCCAGCAAGAAGTATTCCCAAGCCCTACAT